ATAAAACACTCCTTGACATAATGCAAACAATCACTCACCTCTCACTGCGTCTTGCACGCTAATGACAACCAAACACTATCAACTCCCTACAAGTAATCCACCAGAACTTCCCTTCCACCTCTGGAAGTTCACTACCCTGATATCTTTAGGTTCTTCCGGGCTTCACTACCAGGATCCTCTGCAGCTCCTCCAGGCTGCTATCGTGAAGTTTCCTTGAGCAACTACGGTGCTTCACCCTTCTGCTAGGGTCCTCCACAGCTCTCCTGGCTGCTACACCATGAAGTTTCCTCGAGCAACTATGGTGCTTCACCACCTCTACAGAAGCACGTGACACTCCTCTTCACTGCTTCCCCCTCACAGCTCGAGGTCCTCTGCTCCACTACCTTGGAGTCTCATCAACTACTTCATCTGTGCTGGCTTCGAAGTTCTCAGCAACTGCTTCCCCAAAGACAAACCTGCAACCCATCGACACTCCAATAAAAATGTTTCCCCTTTAACACATAAACAAAAAAACCACACAATATGTTTGCCTCAAACCTCTATCTGTCCTCTACATACAGTGAGAGTGGACTCCCCCGTTTTGGGCGGGTCCATACTCCACCTCGCCTGGCGGCGGTCCTCACTCACGCTGGGAGGGTCTTCCACCGTCAAGAGCCTTCAGTCACCTGCCAGCGCTCAGAGGGGACGGACGTTGCTCCGTGTTCCGCCCTCTCCACTCTCTTATTTTAGGCTTTCTGCCTTATTGAAACATGTCTAACTTATCAATAAACATTGCTACTGTCGCTGGGCACACGACCAACTACAAGCAATCACTATGAACTGGCGTATATCGTGCTTACCACAGATTGTCTGGTCGAGGGCGCTCCTCCCTCTGACGAAGCTTGGTCAGGGCGCTTCCACGGCCCCCGGTAATGCCTCTGGGCGGTTTAATACTCTCCTCTTCGACCAGGACTTGAGACCACAACGTTCCCAGCTCAGTTCCACAGCTGGCACGTCTACACACTTCTCTTCTCTTGGAGATATATCACTAGGGGTTCCCTTCTGACGGGAGCTCGAACGGAGCGCGGCTTTCCCCTGCGATGTCTGGCACTCAAGTGAGGTCAAAGCCCCTCCAGAAACGAGCCTCACGCCTCCAGCAAAATGTCCACATCTCCTAGCCAGTCATTTATCTGTTTTCTTCTTCACTGCCCCTAATCTTAAATTGTTTATCGTATCCTAGCAACTATTTTACATATGGGTTATCACCTCAATATTTGCTAGACCTTGTAATCAGGTCAGGCTTGATGAATAACTCTCAAGGAGGGAGACTCGTTTCACCTGCAGGCTGAGATCATAACACTAGTCAGGCCACAATTACAGTTTCTATATGATGTGATGTTTCAGGAGTTGAAGGTTCAAGATCTAGTATAGGTCCTGTCATCAATATGCCTCCTGCTGATTTGAGTAAATTCATACCCATAGATTCCTCTGATCCCAGAATGAATCGATGATAGTTGTCAGCTCCAATCAGGATTCCGATATCCCCTATGTAGTCAGAATCGAGCAGAGGATCTGCTAATTGGATTCCTTTTTCTTTTAGGAATTTAGTAGTGGCTGCCAGACCAGTCACTTCCATTTCAGTAGGAATTTTATCAACTATTATGGCTTTGACTGTCCTTTGGGATGTACCTAGACAGACATTGAGTTGTACTACTGGAAAGGTTCTATGACCTGAATTGGTAAAAAACTCTGATATGGATGTAGATACAGTGGTACCTCGCATAACAAATTTAATCCGTTCCATGTTCGTCATGTGAAACGGACGTCATACAAAATGAGTGTCCCCCATGTAACCAGTGTGATGCACTGTGTTTATTGTGAAATTCCCCCCAGTGTGCGTGACATCAAATGTTCCCCAAAATATCATTTTTCTTTGTAAAATGATAAATTACCGTCCCTGAACATGTCTATGTAAAAATAATTACCAAATTCCACTTACTTTGGCTGTGAGGGCGTGGACAAGGTGTGCTGTGACGTCATCAGGGCCTGGTCGCCCGTGTGTGAAGCTCCCAGACAGGTCGTGCAGGCCATTCAAGCACCACGTGTTGCCACAAATATATTTTCAAATATTTTTTCTATGCATTTCCAATGCGGTTTTATTTGTTTCTTTTATCGTATATGATGCATATTTGTGACCTTTACAATATGTATACAGTAGAATGTTCATAATTTTCCATGGAATTGTGATACATGTGTCAGTAATGTGTCCACAATAAATGTTTATTGTCACAATATTACGTGGTAAAAATTCACTAAAATTACAATATGTACAGCTTCACGTACTATTTACACAGTAACACACTGTATTACACACTCAGTACTTTGGAGGTTCGTAATAGTCAACGAAGTAGTCCATGGTACACAGCGCGACTTTGCTCTCCTTGTACCAGCTACAGATAGATTTTCGTTTCCTGTTTCATCGTTCTGTGTGCTTGCAAATAACGCACTCGCGTGCACCCTTGGCTTTAGTACTTGTAGGTGGTATGTAGCCAAGCTTGTAAAGCATAAGGTAGTATTGAAACGATTATAGGAAAAGCTCAATTTGTAAGGTAGTCTTGAAAAGATCGCTTTGTAAGGTCCCCACACAGGAAGAGATTCAGCTAGCCTCAAAGAGTGTCCATCAGTCAGGAAAAGATTCAGCTAGCCTCAAAGAGTGTCCATCAGTCAGGAAGAGATTCAGGTATTCTTGAAAATATCAATGAACACCACCACCATGGAAGCCGCTAACACTGTTCATCTATGCTACTTGTATCAGATGCATCATCACTGAACGCAGAAAACGATTCATCTATGTATCATCTATATAAATTCGAGATGGCAAAGGTGGGGCTCAGAGCCACAACTGGATACGCTCGCTGTAGCATCCTCATAGGTGCTGTATCACTGGCATCCGACCGTTGTGTTAAGCCCTTATTGCGCCTAGCTTCAACAATGTTATGACCCTTATGTTCTTCAAACAATAGGGTCTGAATTGCACCGACTGAGCACAGTCTTTCAACACCGTGTCGGACAGGTGTTTGAGAGCCAGAGGCACGTGTGCCACAAATGGTTGCTCACGCCACACTAACCCAGCCAGCAGCCCTTGTCTTTCATATTCGTTATAACAAAAGGTTCGTTCAGTGTTTGTTGGGTAGGCTGCTCCATTATGACAATCTTTCTTTGTTTCAAATGTGTTCCATTTGTTTTGTATTTGTCACTTACGTCTCAATAATGGAGCAGCCTACCCGAGAAACACTGAACGAACGTTTATGGCATTTGTCTATTTTTCAAATTATTTCAACAGTTCTCTTGTTTTTCGTTTTTTTTATTTAAGAAACATGGTGCCGCCGACCTGTAGACCACCGAACGAACCTTTTTGACATTTCTACTAGTTTTCAAAATTCTTAATTTTTTTATTATTTACGTTTTTTGAATGTAAGGAACATGGAGCAGCCTACCTGCCGACCACCGAACGAACCTTTTGCTAGAAGACAAATGAAAAATAAATATTAAACACATTTGAAGAGAGGAAAATATCATAATGGTTTATTCAGTGTATGTAAGGTAGGCTTCTCCATTATTGAGACGTAAATGACAAATACAAAACAAATGGAACACATTTGAAACAAAGAAAGATTGTTATAATGGAGCAGCTTACCTGCTGAACACCCAACGAACCTTTTTGACATTTGTTGTATATCAGACATTTTATTTCTTTTTTCCTACAAAAACGTCAATGCTTTGCAACATCTCAGCAGTCACTCTTTTATGTCCCAGCATCATTAGCATCTTTAAACAAGAACAACATAATTTATGTGCATCGTCGGAGGCATCTAAGAATGTGCAAGAAGCAGCGTGACCCCACCATGTGGTGTTGACGTTACACAAACCAGCGTTCGTCATACGGGACGATTTGACGCTGATCGGGCCGTTCGTTACCCAAAATTTTCGTCTTTTGGGGCGATCGTTATGCGAGGTACCACTGTAATTAGATATAGGATTTAAAGATAAACTAAAAACGGGACATCATCGCAATTTTTGCGAGCCGCTACCAATTTTAGCACATCTATTTTTTTTATCTTAAGGATACGTCAAAATGCGGTGTACTATTATAAGAATGGGTTGATTGAGTATACAAAAGTAATCCTTAAAATTACTTCCCATTGCCCCTCCCTCGTGATATAAGTAGTAATTTAAGAGTGAATTACACCTTTATAAGTGTTATAAGGTTCTCAGTAAGATAAGCTATTAAATAGCTCACAGAAATGTATAAGAATAGTCAATTTGCCCTTAACCGTCCTCCCCCCCCTAAACTCACTGTTAATAGTGTTCACATTGGTCAGTGTTAACACGATGTGTTCAAATAGGGGATAATAGTGTGACTCAATACAATGTTCATGTAGATTTAGCCATTAATTACTGCCTTGTTTCTAAAGGCAAATACCTGTGTAAGAGTATTGAATTCCTCAGCCTTTATCCATAGCAGGGAGAATGTTATGTCAGTGACAGATTACGACTATCCAGTAGCTGGACTTTCATCGTTACTAAACCAAAGTGCATCACGCTCCTCTAAGCCAGGTTGTCTCTCTTTTATATATCATTTAATTTCTGGAGAATACACAGTCTGCAGGCAGCCCCTGACCTCAAGGTCTGTATGGCAAAGGAAGAGAGAGAAAGAGAGAGAGGGGGTGGGAGGGGTAGGGAGAGAGAGGGAGAGGGGGAACTATCAAAAGAAAGTGCCAAGCCATTACGACTTTACAGTACATGGAAGGGTTCAGGATAAGGATTTGTTGATGGGATGGTCAGGGATTGAACGCCGATCTGCATGAAGCGAGACCATCCCACTACCATCTAACCATCTAGCCCAGTGCTTGGGCAGAGAGAGTGGGAGGGAGGGAGGAAGAGAGAGAAACAAAGAGAGGTAGGGAGAGGGAGAGCCTGCATGTTTTTCTGTCATGATGTTAAGAAAAACACCACATGGGAAAGTATATTTATTGTCATAACCAGAATGTAATTGTTGGGTTTAACACAACTCCAAACAGCTCTTGGACGCCCCAAGTGAACACTAGGCATAAACACTTCGGCATTAACACACACACGGAAATGGGTTCGCGGTATATGCAAAAGTATTTTTTATTTTTTTTAACAAATAATATAAAGTACTTAGAACAAGTGATAAATCAAACAAAGAGAGACACTGCGTTAAGTGTTGAATGACTTAATCGTCTAATTTCCTTACGATCGAGTAACAATATTTTAATTTTTGTTATGGATTGAACACGTTTCTGGAAGATGATAAAGTAGTTTTTGTACGCAGTTGATATTAAATACATTGAAACACCCCAGTGTTGTACCTAAAAAATATATTTGTACATACTGTAAATTGAAAATAAGCATCCTTGCATAACTGCCGTGTCCACTGGTACACCCTTGTTTCCACTTCTTATACATATTCCTCTGCTTCCCATATTTACTTTAAATCTTCGCATATTTACTTCTCAATTTTACATATAAACTTATAAAAATTTTATATTTTTCAAATTTGCATATCCCTTCTCATCTTCGTGCAGTAAGCAATAGGTGATGCTGACATACCAGAGTTCCATAGTGCAATTTAATAGTTAATCTGGAAAATACTAATCATGAGTTTAATTGGGAATATTTTTAAAATAAGTTTTTAGAAACATGCAAGTGCAAGATTTGATGAAGTGCGAAACAGGAATTAAATCTTCTCGAAACTCCTGTATGGCCATGTTTTGTAAATCTGTCTGAGTGTGTGAATCTATGTCTGTGCACTGGTGAGTCTGTGCAAAATTCCAAACTTGTGCACTTCTTAGTGTCAGTTTTTTGTCAATCAAACCTCTGAAAGTATTTGCCAATTTGTAATTATCGTAATTGAATTTCCATGACATTTGTAGGATCCGATTATATGTTGATGCAAATTTGGCAAATGAGAAGGTGGAATTGTTAATCTTCAGCGGCTATTGTAAACTAAGTTTACCTATTTACCATAAACGTGTTGACTGGGCTGATGCATAACATTTTAGGTCACTTCAGGTCATAACTGTTAGGACAGTAAGGACAGTTTATAAGTAGTTTTGAGATTTTTTTGTTTATTTTGTTTTAAATTGTTAGTTTGTCTTCGGTAGCTTGAAAGGCTAGTTGAGTAGCCTTATTGAACTTTTTATGCATTTAAAAGGACAGTATGGAACCTTGGAGTAGTAGTCAAACTTCAGTCAAACGGAATATTACTGAGGCCTTTTCACCCTTCGAAGTTCAGTAGAGTTGATAAGCCAGGTGTCTGGGAATTTATTTTCGCATACAAATATATTAGATTCAAAGGAGTTGGAGGAGACGGAACGGGGCCTCAGCACCTCTTCTTGGGGTACCTGAAGACCATGAGGGTGTTCATGAAGTAGGTGAGTTGGTCGACGTTTTTCCGCAGCTTCACCTCTGCGAGCTTATCCGACTCCAGTCCCCTGGCGGCCATCTCCTTCCTGACGTAGTCGTTGGAGCGGCAGTTGACGTGGGAGTGTCCCCCTTGCCCCGGCACAGCCCACGACAACACCACTCCTGTAACAGAGGTCGTGGCAGGTCAAGGAGAAGGCTCATGTACCGGAGATAAAGCAGAGCTCATGTCTGAGGAAAGAAGAGCAACACATATCATGTTTACAGGTCAAGATGTGTGGAGAAGACCCACCAGCACCTGAGCCTTGTGGCAGGTACACAACGGGAGGGCGACTCACCCACGCAGGCGTGCTTGACCAGGTTGTCCAGGAAGTTCTTCTCTCCGGACTCTGGGATGTGTTCTCCCACCTCCAGGCTCATCACCCAGTGGAAGGGACCCCCGAGGGCCGCGGGGCTGGAGAGGTCCGCTGACGCTATCCTCCCGTTGGTGAACTCGTCGATGTTCGCCGCTCCATCCCATCCTACACAGGGACACGAAAGGTTTCAACACATTCCCTAGTCATTATCTAACCAGTCCCTGTAGGGGGACCTGTAACTAACTTTTGTGACGAACCTTGTAAACAATCAATATTGTATTATTCAATATAAAACAAGTTTTTTTTTTTACCTGGCTTCAATGCAACCTTTCGTTTATTGTTATATTGGAAGTCGTTCTAACTACCTTAATGTTCTCACAAATCCTGTTATTAACCTTCTGTACTGTATGGCAGGAACAACAGAAAGTTAAATTTCAAATTGTGTTAAATAAAATATATATATATATATATATAATGATTCAAGTAGCATGCTGAGGCCGCCTTAAAAATATATAATTGTTAAACTATGCAATTTAGGCCTAAAGTGTTTTTCATCCGTAGTGAAAAGATTCAAACTCGGGAGGGTTAAGTTCAGACAAAAAGCCATAGCTTCCGGGTGAAAGCTTTGGCTTAATATGGGTTGACATAATAGCATAGGTGCTTGAATCATGGAGAGAAATAGGAATGGACACAATGAGATAGATGCGAGAATCAACCTTCCTGGAGGCACCTTTCTAATCGAGGGCTTTAACAGTTGTTTTCGTCATAGGCCATGATAACGTCAACATTAGATATATAAAACAGTGTTTCAAAGAACGAGATAAGAGCATGAGACATCAGGATCACTAAATATGAGATCCATTAAAAAGGTGAAGGCAGAATGGAGCAAATGAGATAGAAACGGGCCACATCAGAGACAGTGGAAAAGATGTAGACAAAAAAAAGATGCGAGATAACTTTCCTGACAATGGCTTGAAGCCTAATATGATATCCAGATAACCCTACCGTTCCATGAATTGATGACTTGTGGGGTACCGGAGAGTCCTGCATGCTTCATTAAATTCGTGTAATCTTTGTTGATATTTTCAATCTCCACCTTGTTGGGGTGGTTCAGTATGCCCTCTGACCTGCGGAGGAAGCACCTGCCGTAGTGGCCCAGGCCCGCCCCGAGGTCGGCCACGGTGGTGTTGCCGAAGAGCTGCTCCAAGCCCGCGCACAGCTGCGTTGGGGAATTGTGGAACTGAAGTGGACATTTTCGTTTATTTTTTAAATGTTTGACATTTGTTTTATAATAATACATTGAGTCGAGGGACATGCAGCAAGAGTGTATTTATACACGTTAGGCTTATATCGACCCCGTCCAGGATGCAACCCCACAACAAGCTGACTAACTTCTGAGTACCTGCTAGGTGAACAGCTGCTAGGTGAACAGGTATATATATATATATATATATAATATATATATATATATATATATATATATATATATATATATATATATATATATATATATATATATATATATATATATATATATATATATATATATATATATATATATATATATATATATATATATATATATATATATATATATATATATATATATATATATATATATATATATATATATATATATATATATATATACATATATATATATATATATATATATATATATATATATATATATATATATATATATATAATATATATATAATATAATATATTTATATATAATATATATATATATATATATATATATATGTAATATATATATATAATATATATATATATATATATATATATATATATATATATATATATATATATAATATATATATATATATATATATATATATATATATATATATATATATATATAATATATAATATATATATATATATATATATATATATATATATATATATATATATATATATATATATATATATATATATATATATATATATAATACACACATACTGTACATACATATTTGGGGGTGTACAGTGTGGTGCCCATGATTGTCTATTTATCCTCCCACCTTTCTTCCATCAGCCCCTTGTCCCTATTCAGTCCCCATCCTTCTCTTTTTTTTTTTTAACAGGCCATAATTATAGACCTAAGTATTCAATGACCAAAGTTTATGTAGTTTTTACCCTAACCTAACATCATTTGTGCAGGATGTTTTTCTTTTGTCTCACCTACATTTAATTTCAAAATAAATTAAAACTGTATATGTATAGCTAAGGTACACCCTTACTGATTACTAGGTGAACAGGGGCATTTGGTGATAGTAAATGATCACATCAGGCAGGTCTTATCACCTTCTCTCATTTTTCATGTTCACCAGTGTTTATTTACTTAATAACTACGGGTATAATATCTTGCTATTATAAAACTAATTCTACTATCATCGAACTCTTATTTACTTCAAGTTTCAAGCAGAGAATGCATATATAACTAACACGAAGGACTCCTCTTCACTAGATTAACCAGCTATAATATTTTGGTCATGTTCCAATATCATAAATCGATCCCAGTGTTATGTAGTAGAGAAAAAATGACTTATATCCAGTTTACGTAAAGCTACGAGTGGTCGAAACCACACTTAAATCTCGGAATTGACTTACGAAGGTTTTTCCACTTAGGGTAGTTAATTGAATACGGACGTAGCCGCCACGAAGGCGCTAAGAGGGAAAACGTTCTTAGCTAAGAGGAAAAACCTTCGTAAGTACCTTCCTGAATCCGGCCCCTTTGGTCGCCCGTGTGTGAAGCTCCCAGACACGGTCGCGCAGTCCATTCGAGCACCGCGTGTTGCCACAAATATATTTTCAAATATTTTTTCTATGCATTTCCAATGCGGTTTTATTTGTTTCTTTTATCGTATATGATGCATACTTGTGAACTTTACAATATGTATACAGTAGAATGTTCATAATTTTTCATGGAACTGTGATACATGTGTCAGTAATGTGTCCGCAATAAATGTTTATTGTCACAATATTACGTGGTTAAAAATTCACTAAAATTACAATATGTACAGTTTCACGTACTATTTACACAGTAACACACTGTATTACACACTCAGTACTTTGGAGGATCGTAATAGTCAACGAAGTATTCCATGTTACACAGCGCGACTTTGCTCTCCTTGCACCAGCTACAGATAGATTTTCGTTTCCTGTTTCATCGTTCTGTGTGCTTGCAAATAACGCACTCGCGTGCACCCTTGGCTTTAGTACTTGTTGGTGGTATGTAGCCAAGCTTGTAAAGCATAAGGTAGTATTGAAACGATTATAGGAAAAGCTCAATTTGTAAGGTAGTCTTGAAAAGATCGCTTTGTAAGGTCCCACACAGGAAGAGATTCAGCTAGCCTCAAAGAGTGTCCATCAGTCAGGAAGAGATTCAGCTAGCCTCAAAGAGTGTCCATCAGTCAGGAAGAGATTCAGCTAGCCTCAAAGAGTGTCCATCAGTCAGGAAGAGATTCAGGTATTCTTGAAAATATCAATGAACACCACCACCATGGAAGCCGCTAACACTGTTCATCTATGCTACTTGTATCAGATGCATCATCACTGAACGCAGAAAACGATTCATCTATGTATCATCTATATAAATTCGAGATGGGAAGGGTGGGGCTCAGAGCTACAACTGGATAGCTCGCTGTAGCATCCTCATAGGTGCTGTATCACTGGCATCCGACCATTGTGTTAAGCCCTTATTGCGCCTAGCTTCACCAATGTTATGACCCTTATGTTCTTCAAACAATATGAGCACAGTCTTTCAACACCGTCTTTCAACTTTCAACTAGGGGAGCCGGTCGGCCGAGCGGACAGCACACTAGACTTGTGATCCTGTGGTCCTGGGTTCGATCCCAGGCGCCGGCGAGAAACAATGGGCAGAGTTTCTTTCACCCTATGCCCCTGTTACCTAGCAGTAAAATAGGTACCTGGGTGTTAGTCAGCTGTCACGGGCTGCTTCCTGGGGGTGGAGGCCTGGTCGATGACCGGGCCGCGGGGACACTAAAAAAGCCCCGAAATCATCTCAAGATAACCTCAAGATAACCGTGTGGGACAGGTGTTTGAGAGCCAGAGGCACGTGTGCCACAAATGGTTGCTCACGCAGTACTAACCCAGCCAGCAGCCCTAGTCTTTCATATTCGTTATAACAAAAGGTTCGTTCAGTGTTTGTTGGGTAGGCTGCTCCATTATGACAATCTTTCTTTGTTTCAAATGTGTTCCATTTGTTTTGTATTTGTCACTTACGTCTCAATAATGGAGCACCCTACCCGACAAACACTGAACGAACGTTTATGGCATTTGTCCATTTTTCAAATTGTTTCAACAGTTCTCTTGTTTTTCGTTTTTTTTTATTTAAGAAACATGGAGCCGCCGACCTGTAGACCACCGAACGAACCTTTTTGACATTTCTACTAGTTTTCAAAATTCTTCATTTTTTTATTATTTTCGTTTTTTGTATGTAAGGAACATGGAGCAGCCTACCTGCCGACCACCGAACGAACCTTTTGCTAGAAGACAAATGAAAAATAAATATTAAACACATTTGAAGAGAGGAAAATATCATAATGGTTTATTCAGTGTATGTAAGGTAGGCTTCTCCATTATTGAGACGTAAATGACAAATACAAAACAAATGGAACACATTTGAAACAAAGAAAGATTGTTATAATGGAGCAGCTTACCTGCTGAACACCCAACGAACCTTTTTGACATTTGTTGTATATCAGACATTTTATTTCTTTTTTCCTACAAAAACGTCAATGCTTTGCAACATCTCAGCAGTCACTCTTTTATGTCCCAGCATCATTAGCATCTTTAAACAAGAACAACATAATTTATGTGCATCGTCGGAGGCATCTAAGAATGTGCAAGAAGCAGCGTGACCCCACCATGTGGTGTTGACGTTACACAAACCAGCGTTCGTCATACGGGACGATTTGACGCCGATCGGGCCGTTCGTTACCCAAAATTTTCGTCTTTTGGGGCGATCGTTATGCGAGGTACCACTGTAATTAGATATAGGATTTAAAGATTATAAGTAGTACTTGATAGTACTACCGATTCTTATTAAGGATTCGATTTATAATCTCTACCGGATATTGATTATGTTCAAATAGTTTTTGAATTAAGAAATCCTTCTAGAAGCTTCTGGATCCTTGAGAAAACATGCACAAAGTCACGTAGGCATCTATAGGGCCCCTATGGTGTACGTGATCCTAGTGGCATTGTCATCTAGGATTAAGATGTATAATGAATCTATTGTGATTCTGATATGATTTTGATATGATTTGATATCATTTTGATATGATTTAGATATGATATAGAAATAATACATTTCTTAGATAATAATAATATAGATAAGGTGGGTAAAATTTCCCACAAGTTCATGATTATTGATTTCCTTTCTTCCTGGAGAATCAATAATAAAGACATTCAGGTTCTGAGCAGGGAGGTGGTAGCAGTGTTTAATGAGTTTTTATTCCTTATATTTAAACTAAGAAACCCACCATTGTTGCTGCTTCCCCCATTTAATATTTCAGCTTATATTCGCGGTAGCTCAGTGAGGAGTCATACTGAGCTGCAAGCAGTGTTGAGCTGGGGTAGTGAGTGGAGAGGAAGGGAAGAACAGTTAGGGTTATTACAAGAACACAGATAAAATCAATGTATTTAAAAGTCATTTCAGTAAATTTCATGGCACTCATTGCAAAAATTACATTAGTAATAATTTTGTTTAAAGTAATTGATGCAGCCCATCCTCCCATTCTCACTGTCACTGAACTGTTATATTAACCTGCCTGAATCTAACCAACCCAAGGATGCACAAACTAAAAACGGGACATCATCGCAATTTTTGCGAGCCGCTACCAATTTTAGCACATCTATTTTTTTTATCTTAAGGATACGTCAAAATGCGGTGTACTATTATAAGAATGGGTTGATTGAGTATACAAAAGTAATCCTTAAAATTACTTCCCATTGCCCCTCCCTCGTGATATAAGTAGTAATTTAAGAGTGAATTACACCTTTATAAGTGTTATAAATATACCTGCCGACCACCGAACGAACCTTTTGCTAGAAGACAAATGAAAAATAAATATTAAACACATTTGAAGAGAGGAAAATATCATTATGGTTTATTCAGTGTATGTAAGGTAGGCTTCTCCATTATTGAGACGTAAATGACAAATACAAAACAAATGGAACACATTTGAAACAAAGAAAGATTGTTATAATGGAGCAGCTTACCTGCTGAACACCGAACGAACCTTTTTGACATTTGTTGTATATCAGACATTTTATTTCTTTTTTCCTACAAAAACGTCAATGCTTTGCAACATCTCAGCAGTCACCCTTTTATGTCCCAGCATCATTAGCATCTTTAAACAAGAACAACATAATTTATGTGCATCGTCGGAGGCATCTAAGAATGTGCAAGAAGCAGCGTGACCCCACCATGTGGTGTTGACGTTACACAAACCAGCGTTCGTCATACGGGACGATTTGACGCCGATCGGGCCGTTCGTTACCCAAAATTTTCGTCTTTTGGGGCGATCGTTATGCGAGGTACCACTGTAATTAGATATAGGATTTAAAGATTATAAGTAGTACTTGATAGTACTACCGATTCTTATTAAGGATTCGATTTATAATCTCTACCGGATATTGATTATGTTCAAATAGTTTTTGAATTAAGAAATCCTTCTAGAAGCTTCTGGATCCTTGAGAAAACATGCACAAAGTCACGTAGGCATCTATAGGGCCCCTATGGTGTACGTGATCCTAGTGGCATTGTCATCTAGGATTAAGATGTATAATGAATCTATTGTGATTCTGATATGATTTTGATATGATTTGATATCATTTTGATATGATTTAGATATGATATAGAAATAATACATTTCTTAGATAATAATAATATAGATAAGGTGGGTAAAATTTCCCACAAGTTCATGATTATTGATTTCCTTTCTTCCTGGAGAATCAATAATAAAGACATTCAGGTTCTGAGCAGGGAGGTGGTAGCAGTGTTTAATGAGTTTTTATTCCTTATATTTAAACTAAGAAACCCACCATTGTTGCTGCTTCCCCCATTTAATATTTCAGCTTATATTCGCGGTAGCTCAGTGAGGAGTCATACTGAGCTGCAAGCAGTGTTGAGCTGGGGTAGTGAGTGGAGAGGAAGGGAAGAACAGTTAGGGTTATTACAAGAACACAGATAAAATCAATGTATTTAAAAGTCATTTCAGTAAATTTCATGGCACTCATTGCAAAAATTACATTAGTAATAATTTTGTTTAAAGTAATTGATGCAGCCCATCCTCCCATTCTCACTGTCACTGAACTGTTATATTAACCTGCCTGAATCTAACCAACCCAAGGATGCACAAACTAAAAACGGGACATCATCGCAATTTTTGTGAGCCGCTACCAATTTTAGCACATCTATTTTTTTTATCTTAAGGATACGTCAAAATGCGGTGTACTATTATAAGAATGGGTTGATTGAGTATACAAAAGTAATCCTTAAAATTACTTCCCATTGCCCCTCCCTCGTGATATAAGTAGTAATTTAAGAGTGAATTACACCTTTATAAGTGTTATAAGGTTCTCAGTAAGATAAGCTATTAAATAGCTCACAGAAATGTATAAGAATAGTCAATTTGCCCTTAACCGTCCTCCCCCCCCTAAACTCACTGTTAATAGTGTTCACATTGGTCAGTGTTAACACGATGTGTTCAAATAGGGGATAATAGTGTGACTCGATACAATGTTCATGTAGATTTAGCCATTAATTACTGCCTTGTTTCTAAAGGCAAATACCTGTGTAAGAGTATTGAATTCCTCAGCCTTTATCCATAGCAGGGAGAATGTTATGTCAGTGACAGATTACGACTATCCAGTAGCTGGACTTTCATCGCGTTACTAAACCAAAGTGCATCACGCTCCTCTATGCCAGGTTGTCTCTCTTTTATATATCATTTAATTTCTGGAGAATACACAGTTTGCATGCAGCCCCTGACCTCAAGGTCTGTATGGCAAAGGAAGAGAGAGAGAGAGAGAGAGAGGGGGAGGGAGGGGGAGGGAGGGAGAAGGAGGAGGGAACTATCAAAAGAAAGTGCCAAGCCATTACGACTTTATAGTACATGGAAGGGTTCAGGATAAGGATTTTTTGATGGGATGGTCAGGGATTGAACGCCGACCTGCATGAAGCGAGACCATCCCTCTATCGTCATCTAGCTCAGAGCTTGGGCAGAGAGAGAGAAACAAAGAGAGGTAGGGAGAGTGAGAGTCTGCATGTTTTTCTGTCATGATGTTAAGAAAAACACCACATGGGAAAGTATATTTATTGTCATAACCAGAATGTATTTGTTGGGTTTAACACAACTCCAAACAGCTCTTGGACGCCCCAAGTGAACACCAGGCATAAACACTTCGGCAATAACACACACACGGAAATGGGTTCGCGGTATATGCAAAAGTATTTTTTTTTTTTTTTTACAAATAATATAAAGTACTTAGAACAAGTGATAAATCAAACAAAGAGAGACACTGCGTTAAGTGTTGAATGACTTAATCGTCTAAGTTCCTTACGATCGAGTAACAATATTTTAATTTTTGTTATGGATTGAACACGTTTCTGGAAGATGATAAAGTAGTTTTTGTACGCACTTGAGATTAAATACATTGAAACACCCCAGTGTTGTACCTAAAAAATATATTTGTACATACTGTAAATTGAAAATAAGCATCCTTGCATAACTGCCGTGTCCTCTGGTACACCCTTGTTTCCACTTCTTATACATATTCCTCTGCTTCCCATATTTACTTTAAATCTTCGCATATTTACTTCTCAATTTTACATATAAACTTATAAAATTTTTATATTTTTCAAATTTGCATATTCCTTCTCATCTTCGTGCAGTAAGCAATAGGTGATGCTGACATACCAGAGTTCCATAGTGCAATTTAATAGTTAATCTGGAAAATACTAATCATGAGTTTAATTGGGAATATTTTTAAAATAAGTTCTTAGAAACATGCAAGTGCAAGATTTGATGAAGTGCGAAACAGGAATTAAATCTTCTCGAAACTCCTGTATGGCCATGTTTTGTAAATCTGTCTGAGTGTGTGAATCTATGTCTGTGCACTGGTGAGTCTGTGCACCAAACTTGTGCACTTCTTAGTGTCAGTTTTTTGTCAATCAAACCTCTGAAAGTATTTGCCAATTTGTAATTATCGTAATTGAATTTCCATGACATTTGTAGGATCCGATTATATGTTGATGCAAATTTGGCAAATGAGAAGGTGGAATTGTTAATCTTCAGCGGCTATTGTAAACTAAGTTTACCTATTTACCATAAACGTGTTGACTGGGCTGATGCATAACATTTTAGGTCACTTCAGGTCATAACTGTTAGGACAGTAAGGACAGTTTATAAGTAGTTTTGAGATTTTTTTGTTTATTTAGTTTTAAATTGTTAGTTTGTCCTCGGTAGCTTGAAAGGCTAGTTGAGTAGCCTTATTGAACTTTTTTTACATTTAAAAGGACAGTATGGAACCTTGGAGGAGTAGTCAAACTTCAGTCAAACGGAATATTACTGAGGCCTTTTCACCCTTCGAAGTTCAGTAGAGTTGATAAGCCAGGTGTCTGGGCACTTATTTTCGCATACAAATATATTAGATTCGAAGGAGTTGGAGGAGACGGAACGGGCCTCAGCACCTCTTCTTGGGGTACCTGAAGACCATGAGGGTGTTCATGAAGTAGGTGAGTTGGTCGACGTTTTTCCGCAGCTTCACCTCTGCGAGCTTATCCGACTCCAGTCCCCGGGCGGCCATCTCCTTCCTGACGTAGTCGTTGGAGCGGCAGTTGACGTGGGAGTGTCCCCCTTGCCCCGGCACCGCCCACGACAACACCACTCCTGTAACAGAGGTCGTGGCAGGTCAAGGAGAAGGTTCATGTACCAGAGATAAAGCAGAGCTCATGTCTGAGGAAAGAAGAGCAACACACATTGTGTTTACAGGGCAACATGTGTGGAGAAGACCCACCAGCACCTGAGCCTTGTGGCAGGTACACAACGGGAGGGCGACTCACCCACGCAGGCGTGCTTGACCAGGTTGTCCAGGAAGTTCTTCTCGCCGGACTCTGGGATGTGTTCTCCCACCTCCAGGCTCATCACCCAGTCGAAGGGACCCCCGAGGGTCGCGGGGCTGGAGAGGTCCGCTGACGCTATCCTCCCGTTGGTGAACTCATCGATGTTCGCCGCTCCATCCCATCCTACACAGGGACACGAAAGGTTTCAACACATTCCCTAGTCATTATCTAAAATTCCAGTCCCTGTAGGGGGACCTGTAACTAACTTTTGTGACGAACCTTGTAAACAATCAATATTGTATTATTCAATATAAAACAAGTTTTTTTTTTTTACCTGGCTTCAATGCAACCATTTCGTTTATTGTTATATTGGAAGTCGTTCTAACTACCTTAATGTTCTTACAAATCCTGTTATTAACCTTCTGTACTGTATGGCAGGAACAACAGAAAGTTAAATTTCAAATTGTGTGAAATAAAATATATATATATATGATTCAAGTAGCATGCTGAAGCCGCCTTAAAAATATATAATTGTTAAACTATGCAATTTAGGCCTAAAGTGTTTTTCATCCGTAGTGAAAAGATTCAAACTCGGGAGGGTTAAGTTCAGACAAAAAGCCATAGCTTCCGGGTGAAAGCTTTGGCTTAATATGGGTTGACATAATAGCATAGGTGCTTGAATCATGGAGAGAAATAGGATTGGACACAATGCCATAGATGCTAGAATCAACCTTCCTGGAGGCACCTTTCTAATCGAGGGCACTAACAGTTGTTTTCGTCATATGCCATGATAACGTCAACATTAGATATATAAAACAGTGTTTCAAAGAACGAGATAAGAGCATGAGACATCAGGATCACTAAATATGAGATCCATTAAAAAGGTGAAGGCAGAATGGAGCAAAAAGAGATAGAAACACAGGGCCACATCAGAGACAGTGGAAAAGATGTAGACAAAAAAAAAGACAAAAAAGATGCGAGATAACTTTCCTGCCGATGGCTTGAAGCCTAATATGATATCCAGATAACCCTACCGTTCCATGAATTGATGACTTGTGGGGTACCGGAGAGTCCTGCATGCTTCATTAAATTCGTGTAATCTTTGTTGATATTTTCAATCTCCACCTTGTTGGGGTGGTTCAGTATGCCCTCTGACCTGCGGAGGAAGCACCTGCCGTAGTGGCCCAGGCCCGCCCCGAGGTCGGCCACGGTGGTGTTGCCGAAGAGCTGCTCCAAGCCCGCGCACAGCTGCGTTGGGGAATTGTGGAACTGAAGTGGACATTTTCGTTTATTTTTTAAATGTTTGACATTTGTTTTATAATAATACATTGAGTCGAGGGACACGCAGCAAGAGTGTATTTATACACGTTAGGCTTATATCGACCCCGTCCAGGATGCAACCCCACAACAAGCTGACTAACTTCTGAGTACCTGCTAGGTGAACAGATGCATTAAGTGATAGGAAATGAGCCCAACTATTACTGTCCCGCTCAGTTTTTGATACCTTTTAACCACCATGTTTTAGCTATTTTTAAAAGAAATGGTATAATATTACATATTTTTTATTTAAACACTAGCCGTACCCAGCCATGCCTTGCTGTTGCTCAGTCTGGTTAAATGAAAATGAAAGAAAAGAGAAAGCGCATGTTTCTAATGTTTAATTTCACAATGCTTGTTGGTATACAATATTTCTTGCTGTTCCATTGTCTGTGGAGATATAGAGATTGTCTGGTTTGCCGACTCTAGAACTCCCACCATTCCCACCTTCATCCTCCCCATCATCCCCCGCTCACCATTCCCCCGTCCCCTCGTTCTCCCCCGTCCCCTCGTTCTCCCCACCATCCCACACTCCTCTGTCCTTCTCATCTTCCCCCCTCATCCTCCTCACCATACCCCACTCCCCCGTCCCCTCGTCCTCCCCACCATCACCCACTCCCCCGTCCCCTCGTCCTCCCCCACCATCACCCACTCCACCGTCCCCTCGTCCTCCCCACCATCCCCCCTCCCCTTGTCCTCGAAAGCAGGAATTTGTGGAACAAAATCGTCATCATCACTCCACACAAGTACACCTGGTGTTCTGCGAGACGAAACAGCGGTCCCACGGCGAGGAATCATTACATACCGTGACCAGGAGCTGAATCCCGTCTATGCATAGTATGGGTGCAAACTGAAGATGAGGTAAAATCACGTGAACATGAGGGTCTTTGTTCCTCATTGTCTTCATGTGGTGCCATGTGGCAGCGCTTGGCTGGACGAGACGCTCACGGGACAAAACATCGCTTGGTAACACCACTGGCACTAGCGACCGGCGTGGTACTATGCTCTGATTCAACTTCACTAAAACCAGAAAAAGTCACCTTCCTCTGACTCGTCGCCCAAAATATCCTCATACTCTAAATAAGTGCAAGAACTGTGTGGTCGTGAGCGAATTGGTGTAGACACTCGGCGATGAGGCACTGATGAATGTGTAGGCCTTGCCATGAGAGCGAGCTGTATCTCACTCTCACTTTCCGTGCTATTATCATCGGACTCCTGTGCATAGTCTCTATCGGTGTCAGTCATCTATATCACTTTCCTCACCATCAGAAAATAATTCACTATTTATTTGATCTTGAGTCAATGATAGCATGGTGCGTACCCGGGAGCGTACACAATCTGTCGACAGTAACTGCACAAAGCATCATATGATGCTTTGTGCAGTTTAAGGGTTAATAAGACGTCTAGGAATTGTAGTTTGTCATCTGACTCTCATTCAACTCTAAACTTGAATGCTGGGCACTAGAGCATTCAGGCTCTCAAAGAACTGAGAGAAAGGCCTAAAGCTATCCCTCCAACATGTAAATATGTCATCAACTCAGTTGTACCATATCAAGTCTTGGGGTTTGATCTGAAAGAGGACGAATGTCTCGTAGTACTCCATGTATGTGTTAGCCTCTTATCTCTAGTGTTATCTATCAATACAACAACAATCACTTACTGCATCCCCTGTCATTTCCTCGACTCTCCCCCATCAACTTCCACTCTCCCCCAACATCACCCTCCCTCTCAACTTTATATCTGTCTCAGAAAATGTAATACTGCACACCACATCTTCATTACAAGCTGGTTTCATTACTGTAAACTTCAATTCTGACACCCGTCCTCATCACTCTAATCATCTTTAAATACTGTCTTCATTTTTATATCCATTATCACTACCCAGGCACCACTAGGTTCCCATCTATAACCTTCCCTCTCCTTTACCTTCCTTACCCTTCACCTACTTTCCTACCCTTCACCACCTTCCCTACTCTTCCTCACCATCTCTCTCCTTCACTACCTTCCCTAAACTTCACCATCTTCCTTACATTTCACTAACTTCTCAGCTATTTACCTCCCCTTCCCTTCACAAGGGGAAGGTAATTTCCCATCGCTTCCTTTGCTCTTCCGAGGACCAGCTTATGTTCGTCCTTTGGGAAATTTTGCCCACTATATCAATATTATTATCTAAGAAATCAGTATTTCTATATCATATATATATCTTACGTCAGTCACATCAGATTCATTATATTGTGTTACACATCAACTAGATTCTACATGACAACGCCACCATGATCACCTACAGTATGTCTTAAGGCCAATATGCGTCTACGGGGACTTTGTGCATGATTTCTCAAGGATCTAGAAGGTTCGAGAAGAACATAATTAAAAAATAGTAAACATCAATCGATTTCTGGTGAAGACTGATTTAAATCCTTAATAAGAACTAATTGTACTATTAAGTACTACCAATCTTTAAATCCTATATCAGTTTATCTTATACTTTATCACTATAATCTGTCTAGACAATAAATATAATCAATAAATATTCATTGAAGGTGTGTTTTTGCATATTTTGCTGAGAGAGCATAGCAGCAGCAGGTGGAGCGAGAAGCACCCACAACCAGTCGATGCCAGTTCCCAGTGTTTAACAGTGTAATCATGGGCACAGTGCTTGAAACATTATACAAGGAAGATTTTACGCACTACTGATCATATATCATCAGTGATAGCTCCCTAGACACTCAGTTCTTGGACTTTATACACACATCTAATCTAGGAAATCTAATGCACTCAGCATGCCTCCACCACCACCACGTCATCTTAATCTTATCCTACAGCAACTGCTATAAATGAATTATCCAGCTAAGCTGCTATCTTACTATAAAAATACACTGCCTATCTCTTTAATAGAGATCATACAGTCTGACCACTTGTCAGACCTGGTAAGTATTGAATGTTATTTGTAGTGTGTTGATTGGCCAACTGCATAATATGATAACCTTTATTTATCCAGTAAGTCTGTCCTTAAACTGAGAGGCAATGCCATAATTTTCAGTAAGTTTCCTTTAATCTTTCAGTAACTGAATCTGTTACTTTGCTTTAATTTACTCAATGCCTTAATCTTTTCATGTAAATTTGAATATATCTGAATATATAAATTCTTATTCATCAAATAATTAATTGCTATAAAAATTATCCTTAATTTTTCATATTAGTATATCATATTGTTTATAATATCTAGTCTGCATATTTGCATAGATATCATACTTGTATAATACAACTTGTTGTGTTTATTAGTATAATAGATTATTGGCTGCTGCAATAAATTTATAGCTAGGCTAGACTGTATATTGTTCAAATCCTTGATCTAGAACAGAACCAGTGTTCAGTCATAGAACTGAGTTTTATAGTCTTATTAGCTTGTATTTGATACAGGGATGTGTTGAAATGCCTGCAGGAAGATTGTGGGTCTCCAATCAATTCCATTCACCCTTAAGGACCTGCCTGCCCCCTACAGCCCACAGTCCTCCTCAGGGCTAGAGGAGTAGGATTTACAGCCCTAGCTAAGAACTTTTAGTTGTATTATTTTAACATAAGAGTAATTTGAATTTAGTAAAGAACAAGTCCTAAGTACTTTTCCTTATAAATCAATCACAGTATTTCCCCCACACGTCCCATTCCCCAGACCATTCACCCTGCAAAGTAAGGTGATGCTATCCCCAAGCATCTTCCCTCCAGTCATGGACAGACAGATATTTTATCTCAAAGACTACACACACACACACACACACACACACACACACACTAATATTCAGAGGTTGAAAATGGGAAATAGATTCACGAAAAATGAAAAGGAAATGTGTGAAACATTAAACGAAAAGTTCCAAAGTGTGTTTGTACAAAATGAAATCTTCAGGGAACCAGACACAATAGCAGTCAAGCAATTAGTCAACACAATTTAGCAGTCTCCGTGGTGTAGTGGTAAGACACTCGCCTGGCGTTCCGCGAGCGCTATGTCATGGGTTCGTATCCTGGCCGGGGAGGATTTACTGAGCGCAATTCCTTAACTGTAGCCTCTGTTTAACGCAACAGTAAAATGTGTACTTGGATGAAAAAACGATTCTTCGCGGCAGGGGATCGTATTCCAGGGACCATAGGATTAAGGACTTGCCCGAAACGCTACGTGTACATGTGGCTGTACAAGAATGTAACAACTCTTGTATATATCTCAAAAAAAAAAAAAAAAAAAAAAAAATAAGAATTCCAGAGAACAACATAGAGCACATAGAGGTGTCTAGAGACGAAGTGGAAAAAATGCTGAAGGACCTAAATAAGAACAAAGCAGGTGGTCCAGATGGAGTTTCACCATGGGTTCTGAGAGAATGTGGACCTGAGCTCTGCATTCCACTTCAACTGATTTTTCAGGCATCCCTGTTTACAGGAGTTGTAGCTGATGTGTGGAAAAAGGCTAACATAGTTCCAATCTACAAAAGTGGAAGCAGGGAAGACCCCCTTAATTATAGACCTGTATCATTGACAAGTGTAATAGTCAAAATATTGGGAAAAAATAATTAAAAGTAAATGGATAGAACACCTGGAGAGAAATGATATAATATCAGACAGACAGTATGGTTTTCGATCTGGAAGATCCTGTGTATCGAATTTACTCAGTTTCTATGATCGAGCAACAGAGATATTACAGGAAAGAGATGGTTGGGTTGACTGCATCTATCTGGACGTAAAAAAGGCTTTCGACAGAGTTCCACATAAGAGATTGTTCTGGAAAATATTGGAGGGGTGACAGGTAAGCTTCTAACATGGATGAAAAATTTCTGACTGATAGAAAAATGAGGGCAGTGATCAGAGGCAATGTATCGGACTGGAGAAATGTCACAAGTGGAGTACCACAGGGTTCAGTTCTTGCACCAGTGATGTTCATTGTCTACATAAATGATCTTCCAGTTGGTATACAGTATTATATGAACATATTTGCTGATGATGCTAAGATAATAAGAAGGATAAGAAACTTAGATGATTGGCATGCCCTTCAAGATGACCTGGACAAAATAAGTATATGGAGCACCACTTGGCAAATGGAATTTAATGTTAATAAATGCCATGTTATGGAATGTGGAATAGAAGAACACAGACCCCACACAACCTATATATTATGTGAGAAATCTTTAAAGAATTCTGATAAAGAGATCTAGGGTTAGTTTTAGATAGAAAACTATCACCTGAGGACCACATAAAGAACATTGTGCGAGGAGCCTATGCCACGCTTTCTAACTTCAGAATTGCTTTTATATACATGGATGGCGATATACTAAAGCAATTGTTCACGACTTTTGTTAGGCCAAAGCTAGAATATGCAGCGGTTGTGTGGTGCCCATATCTCATCAACAAACTGGAAAAGGTGCAAAGACATGCTACTAAGTGGCTCCCAGAACTGAAGGGCAAGAGCTTCGAGGAGAGGTTAGAGGCATTAAATATGCCAAAACTAGAAGACAGAAGAAAAAGAGGTGATATGATCACTACATACAAAATAGTAACAGGAATTGATAAAATCGATAGGGAAGATTTCCTGAGACCTGAAACTTTAAGAACAAGAGGTCATAGATTTAAACTAGTTAAACACAGATGCCGAAGAAATATAGGAAAATTCACTTTCACAAACAGTGGTAGATGATTGGAACAAGTTTGACGAGAAGGTGGTGGAGGCCAAGACCGTCAGTAGTTTCAAAGCGTTATATGACAAAGAGTGTTGGGAAGACGGGACACCACGAGCGTAGTTCTCATCCTGTAACTACACTTACACACACACACACACACACACACATACTAGGTGGGATACCAGACACAGCCCCGGTCTGTGTAACTGGAATTGTATCCCTCTCACAGTCAGTATTTTGTCTCTTCGATTCTGTCATCCTCATACCTATTCCAAGTGCTATATAGTCAAACTGGTTTCTGCTTTCATCTCATACCATTCCTGATTCATGGATTCAACGATAACTCACCAAGTTTGAATATATTGTTATATTTTTATGGGGAAATAGTACCTTTTCTGTTGTTGCATCGACACCTCATGTCTAATTACCTGGCCACTCCACATGTGGTTACCACCAACCACTAATTTGTTGTTATGAAGACAGAAACCGCCTGATGGCAGCACCTGGTTTGCCTGACACAGGAGCTTGTTGAGCAGCACAGTCGCCCTCTGGTGACCCACCTGAAGCTCCTCCTGTGGACACCAATATACGAGTAAATAAGTTGACCTGAAAACATGATGTTGTATATTTGCTTAACGTAAACCATTACATAACCAATTTACATATAAACACACACACACACACACACACACACACACACACACACACACACACACACACACACACACACACAAGGAGGACCAGATACGTGGAGAGCTAAGCTGCTGAACGCGGCAACTAGAAACTTTCTAAGCCAACACATCAAGGGACCGACAAGAATGAGAGGGGAAGATGAACCAGCCATGCTTGATCTGATATTTACCCTAAATGAGTGGGATATAAGGGAAGTTAAGATGGAAGCACCCTTGGGAATGAGTGATCACAGTGTATTGATCATTAAGTACTTGGTAGAGTTAGGACTTATCTCCCCCCCAAAAAAGAACTAGGAAACAAGAGACTGTTATACCGAAAGGGGAATTATGAGGGGATGAGAAGTTTCCTAAGGGATGTATCATGGGACACAGACCTCAGAGCTCAGTCTGTACAAGACATGATGGACTATGTCAAGGAAAAATCCGAGAAGCAAACGAAGAATCCATGGTATAATAGGGCATGTATAGAAGCAAAGGAACTGAACAAAAGGGCGTGGAGGAACTTCCGAAATAACAGAACACCAGAAAGCAGAGAGAGAGACCAGAGAACCAGGAAGGAGTATGTTAGTGTGAGAAGGGAAGCAGAGAAAAACTATGAAAATGATATAGCAAGCAAAGCTAAGACCGAACCAAAGTTACTCCACAGTCACATCAGGAGGAAATCAACATTGAAAGAATAGGTAATGAAACTTAGAACAGGCGAGGACACGTATACAGAGAATGATTAAGAGGTGTGTGAAGAACTCAACAGGAGGTTCCAGGAGGTCTTCACAATAGAACAAGGTGAGGTCACTGCACTTGGAGAGGGGGCAGTAAACCAGGTGGCCTTGGAAGGGTTCGAAATTACGAGAGATGAGGTCAAGAGACACCTGTTGGATCTGGATGTGAGAAAGGCTGTTGGTCCAGATGGGATCTCACCACGGGTATTGAAAGGGTCTGCAGAGGCACTTTGCTTACCACTCTCCATAGTGTATAATAGATCACTGGAGACGGGAGACCTACCAGAAATATGGAAGACAGCTAATGTGGTCCCAATATACAAAACGGGTGACAGACAAGAGGCACTGAACTGCAGGCCAGTTTCCTTGACTTGTATACCATGCAAGGTGATGGAGAAGATCGTGAGAAAAAATCTAGTAACCCATTTGGAGAAAAGGGACCTCGTGACAAATCGCCAGGGAGGGTAAATCTTGCCTTATTGGCTTAATAGAATTCTACGACCAGGTGACAAAGATTAAGCAAGAAAGAGAAGGATGGGAGGACTGCATTTTTTTTTGGACTCGGAAATCCTTTGACACAGTTCCCCATAAGAGGCTGGTACATAAACTGGAGAGACAGGCAGGAGTAACTGGTAAAGTGCTCCAGTGGATAAGGAAATAGCTAAGCAATAGGAAGCAGAGAGCTACAGTGAGGAGTGAAACCTCCGATTGGCGTGAAGTCACCAGTGTAGTCCCACAGGGCTCTGTACTCGGTCCTATTCTGTTTCTGATATACGTAAACGATCTCCCGGAGGGTATAGACTCATTCCTCTCGATGTTTGCTGACGATGCTAAAATTATGAGAAGGATTAAGACAGAGGACTGCTTGAGGCTTCAAGACGACCTAGACAAACTGAAGGAATGGTTGAACAAATGGTTGTTAGAGTTTAACCCAAGCAAATATAATATAATGAAGGTAGGTGTAGGGAGCAGGAGGCCGGTTACAAGGTATCATTTGGGAGATGGAATTCTTCAAGAGTCAGAGTGAAGGATCTGGGGGATGATATCACGCCTGACATGTCCCCTGAAGCCAATATCAAGAGGATAACATCAGCAGCATATGCCAGGTTGGCTAACATAAGAACGGCATTTAGACACTTGTGTAAGGAATCATTCAGAACTTTGTATACCACCTATGTCTGGAGTAGACATAGACCAGACCAATCCTGGAGTATGCAGCCCCAGCATGGAGTCCATATCTAGTCAAGCATACGACTAAACTGGAAAAGGTTCAAAGGTTTGCCACCAGACTAGTACCCGCGCTGAGAGGTATAACCTACGAGGAGAGACTACGGGAATTAAACCTCACGTCGCTGGAAAACAGAAGAGTTAGAGGGGACATGATCACCGCATGCAAGATTCTCAGAGGAATTGACAGGGTAGATAAAGATAGACAAGGGGCAAACGCACTAAGGGACACAGGTGGAAATTAAGTGCCCAAATGAGCCATAGAGACGTTAGAAAGATTTTTTTCAGTGTCAGAGTAGTAGACAAATGGAATGCATTAGGAAGTGATGTGGTGAAGGCTGACTCCATACACAGCTTTAAGTGTAGATATGATAGAGCCCAATAGGCTCAGGAACCTGTACATTAGTTGATTGACCGTTGAGAGGCGGGACCAAAGAGCCAGAGCTCAATCCCCGCAAGCACAACTCGGTAAGTATATAATATATATAATATATATAATATAGGAAGGCGTCCAACAGGGTGACCCCCTTGCTCCTCTCCTTTTCTGCTTAGTCATCAAACAAGTCACAGAGGTCCTGTCCAGCGAGCTTAACATCTGGTTCTTGGATGATGGTACCCTAGCTGGTTCCCAAGACTCCCTCCTGGAGGACATCAGAAAAATCCAGGATCAAGGGGCAACTTTAGGCCTGACCCTGAATCCTTCTAAGTGTGAGATAATATGTTCCAACCAGGGCATCGTAGAGAGAATAGAGGGTCTTCTGCCAAATATCCATATAATTAAACCTGAAGACAGCACACTCCTAGGAGCTCCCCTGGGGTTGAAAACCATCGATGAGGTCCTTGATAAGAAAATCGCCGACCTTAAGAGGATGGATGGGAGGATACTGATGCTCATGATGCACTCTACCTCATCACCAGATGTCTAGCCGTCCCTCCCCAGGTTAACCTACACTTTCTGAGGTGTTCACCATCTTACAGTAGCCAAAAACTAGGTGAGTATGACCGGTTACTGAAATCAATGCTAGAAAAAGCCCTTAACCTCTCACTTGATGACCTACAGTGGAAACAAGCCCCTCTTCCCGTAAGACTTGAGGGCCTCGGAGTTCGAACAGAAACGCAAATCGCTGTTCCAGCCTTCCTGTCCTCCTTATCAGCATCCGACGACCTTGTGATGGAAATTCTACCTGCCCACATACATCAGCTGGCAGGTGTACATGATCCCAATTTTACACGCTGTGCCACAGAGTGGGCCTCTCGTGCAGGCCAATCACCTCAACCACCATCCCCAAAAGCCCACAAGCAATCCAGCTGGGATGGCCCCATTGTAGACCAAGTTGCTGCAGAGTGCCTGGGTGCTGCAACAACACAACACGACATTGCTCGCCTCACAGCAGTAGCAGCCCCACATGCAGAGGATTTCCTGTTAGCAACCCCAATGTCGGCAACTGGCACGCGTCTCACACCACACGCCCTCCGAATTGCTGTGGCCCTCCGCCTTGCTGCCCCAATCCACACCAGATATAGGTGTATTTGCGGCGAGGTGGTGGCTGACGGGTACGGCCACCATGGCCTACTCTGCCAAAGCAAAAGGGGATGGCATTCGAGGCACAGTGAAGCTAACGACATCAAGAGGAGCCTCACCACAGCTGGATGCCCAGCTGAAAGAGAGCCCCGTTACCTAACGCCCCGTAACTCTGATGCTCTTATTGGTCGCCCAGATGGTATCACAGTGAACCCCTGGAAGATTGGCAAGCAGTTGGTATGGGACTACACTTGCGTATCAACCCTGGCTATCACCTACATTGATCTCAGTGTTGCACAACCAGGTGGCGCTGCCACCCACAGGGAAGCAGCCAAATCCCGTAAGTATAGAAAACTGGATCACCACTACAGTTTTGTCCCCATTGCTTCTGAGACACTCGGCGCCTGGGGTAAAAGTGCTACCAGTTTTTTGAAGGAACTGGGTTCTAGGCTCCTTGAAACAAGAAGGGACCCTAGAGCTGCCAGCTTTCTTTTCCAGCGCCTAAGCGTGGCGATACAGAGGGGAAATGCGCACTGCATCCAGGGTTCCTGCCCGCCATCTGAGGAGCTGGAGGAACTCTACAACCTATGATAACCATCTTTGTAACCTATATGTAACTCCTTTTTTGTAACAAAGTTCAAATAAAGCAAATATATATGTGTACATACAAAAGAATGGGGGTGGTAGGAGAAGATAATATTAGTGTTCAGTCAGAAACCACAAGGTCTCCTCTGAATACTTTTTATTTTCTTCTCCGAGGCTATGGGTCCCCACATTGGCACCAGAGGTGGTACCCCCACAAACTTTTTTTATATATATAATATATATATATATATATATATATATATATATATATATATATATATATATGTGTGTATATATATATATATATATATATATATATATATATATATATATATATATATATATATATATATTATTATTAATATGACCGAAAAAGTAAGATTAATAATTCTAACACGAATTTTCTCAATCTTTCGTACATTACGCTTCACTATTGGAGGTAAATCAAAAATCACTTCTCCAAAATTCATTTTTATTTCTAGTCTGACGCGACACGGGCGCGTTTCGTAAAACTTATTACATTTTCAAAGACTTCACAAATACACAACTGATTAGAACTTACGTCTCTCTGATATTATATCTACATTTGAGTGAGGTGGGAAGGATGATGTGGCATTAACACAAGACAGAACAGGGGATATTAATAGGGTATTAAAAGTATCAACACAAGACAGAACAGAAACAATGGGTATTGAATAGAAGTGTTTGTAGAAAGCCTATTGGTCCATATTTCTTGATGCTTCTATATTGGAGCGGAGTCTTGAGGTGGGTAGAATATAGTTGTGCAATAATTGGCTGTTGATTGCTGGTGTTGACTTCTTGATGTG